ACGCTGTGGCCCTCTCTGGTGACACCCTTCTCCCACACTGCCCCAGTCAGGGCATGCTTTGTACTGGCCAGTCCCGGGCAGCCTTGGACGGGGTATGGCACGTCTCAGTATGGAAGAGGGTGTCTGTCTTGTAAATGGAAAAGGGGAGGAGGTATCCAGGCCCTAGTTCTGAGTGCTTCAGTCCTGGGGACAAAGTGGTCAGCTAGGGCCACAGTGCTAGGCATGGCCCAGGGCAGTGGACTCAGTCAGCTGGCTTGTCTAGTGATATAGTGCCAGTCTGTGCCCGGCTCCTCATCATCCTCCTTCCTTGTGGTGCCTACTGCAAGGCATCTGGGCTCACTGTCTTGTCCACCCATTTGCAGTCTGGCCTACAGCTGCCCCTAAGTACATGGTCACCAGTGAGCCACTGGTTCTGGTCTTTTGTTTCTGTAACTGTCTCCAAGCTCCAACTCAGAGCCATCAAGACCTGGGCCTCGTCTCCTCCTCAGCTTCATGGCCCCAGCTGTCATGGCCAGTCAGGCCAAACCTTGCTGAGACCCAGTGGTGCCCCAAACATGCCCTTCCGCGCTGGGCATCTCCACCAAGGCAGGTCTGGGGTCCCCAGGCATGAAGAGGAACCCCTCTTTTCCATCCTGAGTCATATGTGGTAGCTGGTCTGTGTCTGCTCGGCCCAAAGTTCCACTGGTGGCTCTGTGAATCCCTGCTGGGACCTTCTAAGAAGGACCTGGCTGTAAGCCAGGCCTGGAAGGGCCCTTGAGCATGCAGGATGAAGGTAGTAGCTTGCCAAAGCTTCAGGAAAGACGGAACAGTCACTCGTTCCAGGCACGCGTGGGCGTGGGTTTGCGTACTTTCAGGGTTTTCAGACTCTCCTTTCATGCTTCCCATTTTGTTTTGCTCCTGACGATGTGAGAGACAGGTGCACAAGAGGCTATCCGCCCACCACCTAAAGCCCAAAGCTGCTGGGCTCCGTTCCAGCAAGTCTGCCATCAACTGGCTCTGACGGAGGTCCCATAATTCCTTTCTTTCTTTGGTGTGCGTGCGCCTCTCGGCATCCACTGTGACTGCCTTTCTTGACCAGTGTCTTTATCACGACTTGTCTTTGGGGCTTGGGAGTGTCGTGTCTACACTTACACAGATGACCACGTCGGCAGGGTGGTCATGTTAACAACCATATGGTGTAACCAAGCCGAGTCAAAGCAGGCCACTGAGAGTGCTGCTCCCTCCCATGACTCCAGCATGTTCTCCCTTTGGGACGACTCATAGGAAGAGGAAGTCCTCTCAGAGCCCCTCCTCAGTCCCGCCCCAGAGTCAAACTGCGCCATGAATTGGGCCTATAGTCCATCCTGGTTCTCCCAATCAGATGCACGCAGGACTTTAATTCGCTGCTGTCCAGTCGTGGCCAACTCAGGGCGGCCCTGTGGGCTTCCGAGACTCTAACACTTTCACCCGAGGAGCACGTGGTGGTTCTGACCTGGAACCCAAGGCAAAACCCACCCCGTCCCCAGGGCTCCTCACTGCACCCAAAGGAGCTCAGGCCGCCCACAGACAGAGGTTACCAGACAGTGGGCTTTTCCCTCCGACTGTGCCGTGTGTTACTGACTCTGGTGATGTCAACCCCTGTTATCAAACCTCAGCCAACGTCAGCGACTTTGGATGGGCTTCTCAGACCCGGCCTTGTGCAGCTGCAAGATGCTCTTAAAAGGCGCTGCGTGACAAACACAGGACAGGAATCGAGGGTTGGGTTCCCAGAAGGCCAGTGAGATATGAAAGGCCTCCCCACCATTCCAGGGTTCCAACCCCAGGGAACCAGCATCCCAGGCACACAGTGAGAGAGCCAGCCCCTACGCTCTTGGACCAGGCTATTTTAATCTCGAAGGCTATCCAGGTCAGGACCCTGGACAGTTGCCAGGGGGCGGGAATGGGAACCAGCGAGTTCCCAAAGCTTGCTGGCTCACCGCTCTGTGTCCAGTGCCAGGTCTCTGTTCCCTGCCCACTGCCTCCTGGGATGCCCACTCTGATGGCCAGTGTGTAAGTCTGGGTAAACTAGAGAAACAAATGCATAGAGACTCATATGTGTATAAGAGAGTTTCATATAAAGGGTAGTTGTACATTAAGAAAGCATCCTAGCCCAGTCCAGATCAAGTCCATAAGTCTGGTATTAGCCCATATGTCAGATACCAGTCTATAAAGTCCTCCTCAGACTCACGAAACACATGCAATGACACTGAATGCAGGAGGATCACAGGCCAATGGGTGGGAAGTCTTGTGGATCCAGTGGTGGTATAAGCATCTCAGCGCTGGCAGGGGTCTCTATGTGGTTTCTCCAGCTCCAGAGGTCTGGTCACATCAGGGTAGGTCCATGTGGCTTCTCCAGCTCAGGGCACTACCATAGTTCCACATGTCTTGTCAGCTGCAATATCTCCCAGGGAGTAAGCAGAGAGAGAAAATGCTTCCCACCTCCGAGGAGGAAATACCAGGACTTCTCAGAATTCTCAGGAGAAGGCCATGCCCACACCAAGGCCTCATTGGCTAGGACCTGATTGACAGACTAGACTCCACCCCTTCACTCTTAATCCTCTGGAGTCCCAAATTGGCACCAGATTATGTAACGACCACAGACGGTCATGTCCAGTCAGGGACTAGTTAGTCCCCCAGGCCCGAGAAGCAAGGCTGTTGTTGGTGAAGTCAGCTCATAGTCACTGTGTCAGAACAAAAACCAAAGCAAGACCGAAACCCTGCCAGGTCCTTCACCGTCCTGAGCCCATCATGGCAGCCACTGTGTCCGTCCTTCCTGTCGGGGGGCGTCCTCTTTTCTGCTGCCCCTCCACTTTACCAAGCATGATCTCTCCTGACAACACGTCCAAAGTCCCCGAGCCAGAGTCTCACCTCCCTCAAGCTCTTCGGGAGCATCTGCCTTCTTGCAAATAGATTCCTTTGTTCTGACAGCCTGAGTCAAACTCCGTACTCCTTGCCATCAATCCTTCCGTCTTCCGTATTGTTCAGCGTCCCAGTTTCACACCCTTAGCAGGGTGATTGAGAGGCCCAGGACTTGGGTCAGGTGCACCTTAATCATTACCAAGGCCTTGTTGTCGTTGACAAGCAGGTGCAGTGTGTCCAACAAGGTGGGACTCTGGCAGCTCCGCCCCGCTGCTGTGATATTAGGGCTCTGTCCCACCAGCCCAGTGCATGTCAGCCCGGTGTGCGACACCCAAGACTTCTTTCTGCTCAGTACTGCCCACCCACCCGCAAAGGCTGCTCAGTCCGTGGTGGCAGGACAGGCACTCGGCCAGCAACCAGAGGGCTATCTCTAAGTGTGGAGCCTGCAGCTTCCACCACGGAGCCCGAGGCGAGCCCTGTCCCGAGGGCTCAGCCCAGGACGTTGTTCTGTAAGCTCTGAGTGTGCCCACTGCCATCTCTGCTGCCCGATGCACTGCACTCGTTTCATCAACCAAAGGTGATTTGGCCAAACTCTGGTAGGTGGTGCACTCGGCTCCTGGCTGCAAGGTTAGCGGTTTGAAACCACCAGTCCCTCCAGGGGAGAAAGATGAGGCTTTCTACTCCCATGAAATACTACAGTCGTAGAAACCCACAGGGGCAGTTCTGACCTGTCCCACAGGGTCGCTGCGAGCTGGAAGAGACTCGGTGGCCAAGGGCGAGGTTTTCGGGTTTTTCTCGCAGGTGTACTAACACTTGCTGACCACAGCTGACTTTGGGTCACTGCCACTGAGATAACCTCCAGCTCTCATGACTCTGATGGGCCACCAGTGGGTCATACCCAGCAGGGTGTATAATGGGCTTATGGCTGAGGGACAGAGGCTACAGACTTGGGTGACCAGGGGGCTTACCCAGCAGGGACAGTGGGTAAGAGGGAACAGACGGGCAGCCCTTGGCATCCTGTCCCTTCTTTGGCCGTTAGTTTCGCCAAGGATCGAGCCTGTGAGTGCGGGCCCCCTTTGGGGTGCGTGGCTGAGCTCTGGACCGGTGTTGTCCTGGCTGTTGTCTCTAGCGACTGGTGAGTTGATCCAACTCATGGTGAACCCGGGGACAATAGAGGGCATGCTGCCTGGAGCCGCGCTCGGTGACGGGAATGCCGGTGGGATGTGCGACCTGGGCTTCCGGTGGCTGGTTCCATAAGTAGACTGCTGGGCTTTTCTTCCGACTCTGTCTCCATCCGATGCCTTCACCTGGAGCCTGTTTGAAATCGTAGCCACCTCCAGGCCCCACCCCTGACACACGGGAGGTACCTGTGCCTGAGGTTTGCTGGCCGGAAGAGCGCCAGGCTCGGGTCTCCTGCATTGCTGTTTGTTAGTCGGTGCTGTCGAGTCGAACCCTGCACCACAAGACAGAACACCACCCGTCCTCACAATGGCTGCTCTCTCTGAGCCCGCGGTTGCAGCCACTTTGCTAATAATCCATCTTGTTGACGGTCTTTCTCTCTTGTGCTGCCCCTCTACTTTACCAACCACGCTGTCCTTCTCCAGGGACTAGCCTTTCCTGATAACGTGTTGCAGGTGCAATTCTGGCAGCAGGGTGGGACAGGAGGCTGTGTGTCTGGCTCGATGGGCCAGGAGCCTGTCGGTGGCCCTGGGTAAATGGAGTCTCCCTCGGCCGGGGCTGCAAAGTCTGCTGCTGGCTGTGCTGCTGGGATGTGAAATGACTATGTACGTGTCTTTGCTGGGGCGTGAGACAGACCAGAACCCGGGCCCACTTCCCACCTGCACCTAGAATAAGCAGGCCTGCTGGCTCAAAAGGGACAGCATGGGACAGAAGAGAAACTGGGGTCTGGGCCAAACTGGGCCTGCGTGTCCCTGTCCCACTTAGGGTCTGGCAGGCAGCTGGTTCTCTGGAATCTTGGGTCCCCCTTCATGCATGAAGATATCACTTCTGGGAACCTCCATGGCCACATCTTATAGAGTGGGGAGACTCCTGCCCTCCACCCTTGTGTCCCCAGCTGACTCAGAAGCTCCATTCCTGCTGACACCCCTCTCCTCCTTGCATAGCCCCAAGGTGTCCCCCTGTTGCTGTGGACAAGTCTGCGTGCAGTCATGAGTCTCGCCCTGCGCCGTGTCATCCCCTGGGGGCTGGTGCTGCTGGTGTGCGGAGCCCAAGGCTTCCTGCTGCCTAATGCCACCCAGCTGGAGAGGCTGCTCAGCAGATACCAGAGGGACGGGCACTCGCGTGTCCGGCGGGCCATCCCCAGGGAGGACAAGGAGGAGATCCTCATGCTGCACAACAAGCTCCGGGGACAGGTGAACCCTGAAGCTTCCAACATGGAGTACATGGTGAGCCCAAACTCAGCCCGCTCCCCCTCTCCCCCACCACCAAGACCCCCTGCCAAGACCCGCCTTGGTCAACCCAAGGGCAGAGCCTTATAGCCCTTCTCCTGGCAGGCCCCTCAGGCACAGCAGGGCTCGGGAGGGTTGAATTCAGGCCCTGCCTCCTTCTTGGTGTCAGGCCACCACCAACTGTGCTTTGGAAAAAGAAGGGGCTGTGTGCTCCCATGAAGATTCACAGCCTGGGAACCCAAAGGGGCACTTTTGCTCTGCCTGTCTTGTGGGGGTGCTCAGAGTCCAGGTCGGGTCAGGGTCGACTCAGTGGCTGGCAGCAGGTTTGGGGTTTTGTCTGAACCCACATGCAATCCCAGGAATGCCCGGGTGGCATAGATGGTTAACAGGCTCCCACACTAACCGCACAGGCGGTGGTTCAGGCTGACAGGGATGCTGCGGAAGAAGAGCCTGGCGGTCTTGTTTGGAAATATCAGCCATTGAAGACCCAGTGGAACTTAGTTCTCTGACACACCTGGGATGGCCAGGAGTCAGAATGCTGACACAGCAACGGGTTGTGTGTGTGCGTGTGTGTGTGTACATGTATGCATGTGCATATGTGTATTTGCATATATTTTGTGTCTCTTTTGTGTTCATGCATACTTGTGCATGTCTATTTTTGTATGTGTGCATGTGCATATTTGTATGTTTATGTATATAGAATCATATACACGTGTATATGGAGGTGTGCATGCATGTGTATATGCATGTGTGTGTGTACATGGGTATGCATGTGTATATGCATTGCATATATGTGTGTATGCTTGTGCATGTGTGTATGTATATATGCATGTGGATGTGTATATGCACATGTGTATGTATGTGTATATGCATGTGTGCTTGTGTGTATGTATGCATGTGCATGTATATATGCATGTGTATGTATATGTGCATGTGTGCATGTATGTGTATCTGTATATGCATGTGTGTGTGTGCAGGGTCACATTGATGAGCAAAGAGCCCAATCTGTGGGGCTCTCAGGACTGGAAGGGGTGGGTAGTACCAGGCAGCCTAGTGAAGTGGAGAGAGAGCCAGGGCCCGTGGGACGACCAGACACCCTGTAGCCCACTGCCAAGTCTGGGGCTCCTGCAGTGAGTGCACAGGGGTGCAGCAGCTGGGGTCCGGCCTGCAGGTGCACCTGTGCTCTGTTCTCCCACCCTCCATCCCTGGCCCTGACCTGGCTCTTTCTCTCCCCTCCGCAGAGCTGGGACGAGGAGCTGGAGAGGTCGGCGGCAGCCTGGGCCCAGCAGTGCCTCTGGGAGCACGGGCCCACCAGCCTGCTGGTGTCCATTGGCCAAAACCTGGCAATCCACTGGGGCCGGTAAGGGCTGAGGTTCCCCACTGAGCCCCTGTCCTGTGCCCGGCTGGATGCCCATATCTGACACCACACATCATCGCCTGCGGAGGCTGTTGTGACAAAGGACCTCTGTTGGGGGGTATCCGGGAGCACAATAGATGGCCTCATAGTCCTGGGTGTCTGCCTGCCCTCGCTGTTGGCTCTGGGGGAAGGCCTTCCTGGTCTCAGGCAGCTCTGAGGCACTGGGCATGTCTTGGCCTTGGAGGCAGACTCCCGGCTAGCTCCCCTTCTTTAGAAGACACCACCTCCTCTGACCAAAGGCAATCCTCTGTCCCCCCAAACCAGGGCATGGTCACTAGAACCCAGGCTGAGACTCAACATGTCATTCTTGGGGACACTGTTTGGCCTGTAACTGCACACACACACACCCCCATTGACACGTGGGGAAAAAGAACATACAGGGGTGCCCCATAGGAGTGGGGACCAAGCCTGGCCACCTGCCTCCTGAAACACCCACAGAGAACCATTAAGGGGCACGCGAATCCCTGACTCCACTCCTTAGGTCCAGTCCTCTTTTTGTTTTTATCCTCTGGGCTTCTTGGTGGTGTTTGGCTGTGTCTTGAGATGCTTTCACTTAGTTGTAGCGTCTTGTCCTCGGGGCCCTGACGTAGGGCTGAGATCCAGAGGGTCAGCAGTTCAAAGCCACCAGCCACTCCACTTTCCGCTCCCGTAAAGAGTGACAGCCCCAGAATTCCACCAGGGCAATTCTACCCTGCCTCATAGGGCCGCTGTGAGTCGATTGTTTGTTGTAGTGTGGTGCTGCAGCGGTTATACATCGGGCCGCTAAGCACAGCAGAGTGAAGGGACCAGAGGGTGCCAGGGGTTCCCTCCTCCTGATGCGTGCAGGACTCCTGGGTCTGCAGACAGTTGAAGGTCCCTCAGAAGAAAATCTTGTCCTTTGACCTCTGGCACACTGGGCACCTGGAACCCACTCCCCCAGGCAGTTCTGCATGGACACATGCAGGATCGGTTTCCTCCCACCCCACGGGTGCTTGCTACCCGCAGTGGTGCCTGCCTGCACTGAGGACGTAGGACTCCTTTTGTGGGGAAGCTCCAACCCCTGTCCATTGCTTTCCCACACTGGCCGCAGGAGGATGGCTTTCTCCTGGGCACGCTGCTGACTACCAGCACACACCCCCCCCCTCGCCACGCCCCATCCAGACAGTAATTGCGACATGACCTCTAATTGCTGCACTGACCACATCTCCTCGCCATGGTCCAGGCCCCCTTTCTGGAAACCGTGCTGCCCATGCCCGCTGGTTCCAGCACCGTGACCCTGGACGGTCTGTTTCCTTTCTCATTAAGCAGCAAGAGCAACAGATGCTGCCGGCCTGGCAGAGGCGGCCAGAGTGAGGGTGGTGGGCAGCGCTGCCTGGTGACCTCACCGAGGGAGGAGAGGGCCGTACAGAAGGCCCCCGGGTCCTCCTCCCTCCCTCCAGAGGACAAGATCCTAATAAAACCCAAAGGAAACAAGAACAGCCCGAAACTTCTAGCCGCCCTCTCCAGCAGACAAGGCGCTCATCCCAATGTGGGCGGGGTGGGGGGCTGGCTGCCTCATCTTTCTCCATCGGGGCAGCATTTGGCCCCCCCCATCTACTGCATCACCACGACCCCCTTCCAGATCCTTGTCCCCAAACCAAACCTACCGCCCTCGAGTGCATGCCGACTCACAGGGACCCTACAGGACAGAGTAGAACTGCCCCGTGGGCTTCTGAGGCTGCAGCTCTGGATGGGAGTAGACAGCCTCATCGTTCGCCTGAGCAGCAGCTGTGGGACTCTAACTCCTGACCTTGTGGCTAGCAGCCCGATGGGTAACCTGCTAAGCCGCCAGGACCTCTTCTAGATGAATTGGACTCTTTGAATGTTTTGTTTCACGGAGGTTTCCTGGGATAAAGATTAGCCAGCGAGAGTCATGAGTGGTCGCTCCCGCCTGGACTGCAGCCTTGGGCGTCGCTGGGGGTTTCTGGACCGAGTTGTCAAGTTGGTGCGTGGGTCCCTGGACCCCGAGCCGCCTGGGATAGAAACCATGATCACCACACAGAAAGGCGAGAATGCACCCCCTCACCCCCATAGGGGGCAGGAGCCCCTGCCTGTCCTGCACAGCGGTGGTTTCCCCATGCCCAGACCCCCTCAAATGCTCCACGTCCTCCCTGCATGCCGCCTGTCCGTCGGTCCGAAAGGTTTGCTCTGAGCCCTTTCAACCCACCCTTGTCTTAGTCCAGTTTTGCCTTTTCCAAATGATTCTCATGCCGTTTGGGGCCCCTGGGCTGCCGGGATGGGTGCCTCAAATGCCCAGGGGGAGGACAGACACTGGGTGGTGAGCTGGCGGCCATTTCTGTGGGGTGAGCACCACCGTGAGGGGTGCTCTGACCCCTCCCCCCCATTGCTGACCCTGACTCCGCCCACAGGTACCGCTCCCCGGGCTTCCACGTGCAGTCCTGGTACGACGAGGTGAAGGACTACACCTACCCCTACCCCCAAGAGTGCAACCCCTGGTGTCCCGAGAGGTGCTCCGGGCCCATGTGTACGCACTACACGCAGGTAATGCCCAGCACCCGCACCCACAACCAGCCTCCCACCCTCTGTGGGCCCCCGCCAACTCCCGGAGCCCTGGGCAACTGTCTCCTCCCACTGGGGCCTGCTCAAAGCATGGATGCTCCCCAT